GGACGCTTTAAAACTTTTATGATGTGCGATTGGTTTTATATGGAATCGGTGGCTAGTCAAAAAATAACCCTACGTTCAATGTTAATGATAGTACAATTAATTTCTGTTACCTGTAGTAATTAAGTAATTAACAGATATTTGTTAGGCACAGGACGTCTAGCCCGATTGTCGATGTTCTGTGTAAGCAACACCTCTATGTTACCTGTAAATTGACCACAATAACAGACAATCACAATTAACAGAAGTCGTGCCAGATTGTTGCGAGCTCGAATTATATTTTAGCAGTATTGCTCCATTAAAGGATTTATTGATATCTCCAATTAAAACACATAATCCTGTAAGTCAGTCTCGAGAGATTTTTTTTTTGTATAAGCACCTATACAAATTAATAATTTAAGAATTCATTTTAATCCAGCGCAGACACAAATTTAGTCGGATTGTCTCATGGCGAAAAATTCACAACGTAGAGCAGGTTTCAACCAAACAATGTCTTTATAATTTTATAATTTGGCAACAGCCATAATCAAAATTTGTACAAATACATATCTGAAACTGTTAAAAACAGATCGGAATATCGACAGTTTGGAAATGAAATCACGGTAAATAAAGGCACAAGAGGCTGTAGACCTCCTCCCCAACCCTCTCGATACGTGCTCCATTTCATTTTAGTTGGAGTTTACTTATTCTCAGTCTTTACCAAGCTCTTTTACCTCCAGGAAAAGTTTTTTAAAAGGGAGACATATGTAATATAATTCTTCAGATATAACGAGAGATATGAGACTTGAATAGAAACCTGTCATTTACCGAAATTTAAGGGAAAAAAATGTACAGTGATGTACAGTTAATTAAGAAATTCGCAAATTTAATCTCCTAAGATTATTTTCCACACCTTTTTACAAATCTTCGACGCATTCACGAATATTTATTTAATACGACCTATTGTTTCACTTAATTTCATTACTGATTATACGAAAACATTACAGAGATCGCGACAGGATACGCAGACGGACTGTCTGGTGCATACCACGATTATTTTGGATACACGGAATAATTAAGATCAGTATAATCTGGGATTATATCAGTGTCGGAGAAGAAGTGAATGGTTTGGAAAATTGTTTTACGGAAATGATCTGGTTTAAATTTGTTTTCTGTAACAATGAGCTTAGAAATGTAAAATCATGATTTCAGTCTCAGTAAACTGATTCATATTTTCAAGACCTGTTGTATAAAAAACATAAGTATGACTCCAACGATCACACTGTGCTATTATTATTATTATGACAAGCTCAGAACCTCAACTGCTGAAATAAAATACACATAATTAATATGAATTCGCATCTAAAATAAAGGTAAAATTACTTTGGTACAAGAATAAAGCGAACGTTACTGAATAATACATCTCTGGTTAAATAGTTCATACAAGTTTATAATTTCAGTAAAAACAATAAACTGGTGTTTAGGGTAGGGGGTTAATAACATGGTTTAATACCATTGTAAATTACTTATTATAAGATCGTATTAACTTTTATCACCTGTAGTCATTAAATAATTAACATATATTTATTGACTATGGGACAGCCAGTCGGATTGTCTACCGAGAGTATTAAGTTTTTAGGCAATATCCCAATGTTAAATTGTAAATTAGTTGCATTATCATACAATGTATTCAGATTTCAGGAAGAGTTAAAGCTAATTTACAACAGTTTATCAAGTTGTGGTCGAAAATCATATTCCAGTGTTGCATGTAAACTGCTTACAAGAACAATCAATTTATTACAAGGGCAATCAATTTATTTCAAACCAAGTCCTGCCAAATTGTCTCGAGACTGAACAGCAACATTTCTTTGTTAACTAGAAATTGGTTAACAATGACATTCAAATTATTTCAAAAAGAAGTCATGCCAAATTGTCTCGAAGCATGCAGCAACATTTCCTTGTTAACTGGTAATTGGTTTACAATGATAATTAATTTATTTCAAAAAGAAGTCAGGCCAAATTGTCTCGAGACCGAACTTAAAGCAACATTCCCATATTAACTGGTAATTGGTTTACAAAGACATTCAATTCATTTCAAACAGACGTCATGCCAAATCGTCTCGAGACTGAACTTACAGCAACATTTCACCCTTAACTGCAAATTGGTTTAAAATGACCACCAATCAATTGGAAACACAAAATTTCTCGGAGTTATCCACCGTCTTTGTTTTTGACAGCATTTCACTGGTATCGGTATTTGACACATAACAGCTACCAATCACAGTTAATGGACATATCGTTCAATGTATATTGTTTGCTATCAAAGTAGGTGACTATGAAATTAACTGACTTATTAAACATTAGTTTTTTCGAATATTTTTGTCCCCAGATTGAGATATTGATTAATGAACATATTAGAATATTTTTTATCAATGGATGATACAAGAGTCATTCGTCACTATTCCATATTCCATATTTGAAGTAAAGTGACAAAAATCAAAAGTGTTATCAGAAATAGAAAGTTTCGATATTCATACCGCTTGAGGACATTTGGTCATTTCTACGCCAAAGGAATTTGTGTTTAGTATTCAAATATTATTTTACAATCTAAGCCCATTATTCCGGGTCAATGAAAAAGTGCATGTGTAAATATTTGCACGTGTTGTTGCATGTTAAAAGCATAATAAATGCACACAGATTTGGAGTGTTCATTGAAGCAACTATATTTTCTATTGTAATATCTGATGACTTAGAGTTGTAAATTAAGATTTTCACGACAATCTGACAATAGATTTGTCACATCATAAAATGTCTATTTGCTTTGAACTCACCGCTATTTGTTCGCTATAAGAAATATATAAGTAGTATATAAGCCATAATAAAGGCCCGTGTCAAGTGCATCACGCTTATTTCATATTTAAATATCTATACATTTATGTTAATATATATGAATAAAATGACTTTGTTCTTGCCGCTCAAGTGAGGTTTAGTGTTCAACATTAAAGTAGAAAATTTCACACTAGCTCTCAACGAAGGAAACACTTGAGTGTACCCTTAAATTACAGATCTTTAATATTCAAATTAATTCAAAGAAAATAAGAGGCTTTAAAAATAAATTGAATTTTTGTCTTTTGATTTAATGCATATAAAATCAGATTTGGGCTTATTCTTATCGAGCATACCCCATGCATAAAATTACCGCAGCATGCTTAATTGCATTTTGAAAATAAAATCCCGGGGTTGAAGACGTGGGGTCAATTCTAAGGACATTGGTAATTGTCGGGTCTGCAAAGACAAATAAAAAATAACCGTGAAGAATGGCGCGGGGACAGGGTATTGCTTTACTGCTAAGAAAAAAAAACAGAAGCGTTATTGTTTATATCTAAATGTTTATTGTTTAGCGGCGGTTAGTTCAAAGAGTCTGTATTATTTTGACCAGTCCATATCAATTTATTTTCTAATTTACCCAGATTGAATATATAAAATAGAAAATCGTCTTTTAAACTAATAAACAATCCCTAATTATATCAAGATGTAGCCAAAATAATAAAGTATCAAAGAGAAGTTATAATTGGACAAAGTATGATTTTGCACTTTGTCCAATTATAAAACTGAAACTTAGTAATTTTGGGAAATAATTTCACTATCAAGGAATTCATTGAAGTATTATATAGATGGATGAGATTGTTGCAATAAATGTTTGTTATCGCAAGAAAAACTTCCAGCTTTAACATCCTAGGCGTGTAAGAGACGTGTATTGTTGAATACAAATACTATGCTTAAGGTCGAGTACACTCTAGTCACAATATTAGGTATTGATTATTAGCTGTAAGCCTTTAAACGTTTTAACGAAAGTCATCTGGTTACACAATTTTCTCGCTATGCAAACGAAGGAATATCGATGTGGATTACATAATGAATTGACTAATCTTGTGTGTATAACAACACTTCGTGCATGTAAACAACTACAAATGTGTCAATAGATGCATGTTTTTCACCTTTTGAACACGAATATGATTCATTATCAATCATAGCTGTCAATATTGCATAAAATACATTATAAAATTTATTACACGTTTCATATTGTCAATGTAATTTATTCAATACTTCGAGGGTATGAATTTCACTCCTATGCGCTTAACGTTTCGAGTTCCTTATGTGTACATTTACCTGAATCGACTTTGTCAAAGAAATGTTTAATGGCGAGTAACTAAATGATTATCAATCTGAACTACATTCAAATGTATCAATATCTATGGTTGGATTGGAGCAATGACAGTATGCTGTATTGTCCAATTTAGGATATCATACATGTATTGTATTGTGATATAATATAATATACTGTATTGTATTGTGAATATATACAATTGTAACAAAACGCTAATTTCTAGTTTGAGCTCGTCAACTAACATTTATAATGGAAGTGGCACGGAAACAGATGTTAAAAGTGGTGACTATTCAACAGGTTGTTACGATCAAATACCGATACAGCCTCGACTCGTGCCAATCCAGTTTCCTCTCCACTGTAGATATTTTCCCACGGCCACGTACAAAGACTCTCACATTCCTACAGCCACAAGCCAAGGCGACTGATAGGCGAGGCGCGGGCCAACGAGAGATGTCTTTGTATAAAAGTATTTCTTATCGCTTCTCTTGTTTACATAACAATTCGACCATTAAGAAGACTAGTCAAGGGGCGGAGTTTTCCCACACTGTTCCCAAACCACTGAACAATTCTTTTGGCACGTGTACCTATTTAATCGCCAGTCAGTAAACGCTTTGATTGACATTCCTATATCATAGAGGTTTTCCGCGCCACAAGAACACCTGGCAATTAGCCAATCAGCGTAAGGCTGGCACAAGACCTAAAACTTGTCACAAACATAGCTGATCGCTGATTGGTGGAGTGTATCGGCTCGCGAGCGTGGGAACGAAGCTAGAAATGACTTCACACAGGCGAACGGCATGTGTCATTGAGTATAAATAGCCAGTTTTTCGGCTGAAACATCATTCCCTTACTTACTTTCAAGGATAAAACATCTCATTAGATTTTTATATATTTATACTCTGTGTTCTTACCTCTATTCACTATGGCGGATACTATGCAACCAACTCGTAAGGATCCTTCTATTAGAAAGGTAAGATCAAGTCAAAATAATATATTTGATAATCAATACCAATATATATTAAATACATTTTCTCATTTATATTTAAAAGTAGGAAATCATTGTGTGATGTCACTTTGGGGAAATTTGAAAGGATCAGTTTTTAAAATTTAAATGTTCGAAATGTGTATCAGTATTTTTGTCTAATTTATACAAATATACGGACAAGTTTTTAATGTTTTTATATTTTTGTATTTTAGAATAACAAACCTCTAATGGAGAAACGAAGACGAGCTAGAATTAACAGTTGTCTCACACAGTTAAAATCACTTGTACTTCAAGCAATGAAAAAAGATGTAAGTATTCTAAGCAATTGTTTATAACTTACTTGATATAGGATATATTTTTATTATTGGGACTCTCATATAATATGCTTTGTGCATTCAATCTAAAAATAGTACGGTATTCCCGATATCAGATATTTTAATATTTAAATTTATGTGTTGAAATTTAAGATATGTACTTATGTTTCGTTTCGTTATCTTTTCAGAGTTCTCAGTTTTCAAAATTAGAGAAAGCCGATATCTTAGAGTTAACTTTGAAACATCTTCGTGCCTTACAAAGACAACAGATACAAGCCACATCAGTACCCGATCCTAGCGTAATGACCAAATACAGAGCTGGTTTCAACGAATGTGCAAACGAAGTCATGAGATATATGGGAGCGGGTGGTGTTTCAGATGATATCCGTAGTCGTTTAGTCGGACACTTAGCAAATTGTATGCAAACAGTGAACAGTATCCCTCAACAAGAGAATAACATTCCACAAAGATGTATGCAGCCTCTTCAAGTTCAGATCCCATCAACAGTACCTTACCACAAACCACACTCTATTCCAATTTCTTCATACGCTCAGTCGAACTCTACTTCACCATCTTCAGTTACCTCCCCTTGTCTCACTCCTCGAGTAATCTCCCCTAATGACAATCAAGCAAGACTTACCGGTTCATTCCAAGTAGTTCCAGGAAATATGTGTAATGCTAATTCTGTTCCAGTGTACGTCCAGAACGGGGGACCATTGCCAGTTTACTCTCTTCAAGTGCCTAATATGAACAATGGTGTCACTGCCTTCGTCCCTTCTCCAACAAACTTACGCCAATCGTCTCCGGTGAAACTTGAGATGTCTTTTCCCGAGGAATTAAAGCATCAGTATTCTTATAGTATTAGTCCATCCTGCTCACCTTCCAACAGTTCTGTTAAAGAAGAGAAAGTATGGAGACCATGGTAATTCTCTACATTCCAGAACATTCAATAAAATACTGCCATATATTTATGTATAAAACGAATTATTTGTTATGTTTCATATTGTGCCTTTCATTATTATATGAATGAATATATTACTATTAATGTAAATCGTTACCAAAGGACGATTACCATGGTATATGTTAATATATTATATTATATACCATACCATACTATGTGTTAAATTTTAAGGGCATGTATTAAAAGTTGTTATTGCAAAGGCAAATTATTGGTGCATTAAATGATTATGTTGTTATGTATTTGATAGATATATTCAATATTGTTGTTATCTTTATTAAACTTTAAAGATTTAAAACGGTTTATTTCTTAAAATCCCTACACGACCAATTGTGCTTTACATGGTTTCGCTTGAATGAGCCGTGGATTTGAAATCAAATGCTATAACTGCACTGAACAGAAAGCACTCTCTAGTACTCTCGGGAACAACTGGATCCAACTAGAGCATTCACATTCGGGAATGACACACTGGCCTGTGTTTTTGTCGGCTTTTCGGACTTACTTTAACTTGCCGACACGATTGGCACACAATATATTGCATCATACCATTTTATCAAGGCTGTACGTAAAAATAAATTGTACCCTGTTGTAACCCGACGATAATCTATCCTTATTCGTGTCACATTTTGCCAAACGCCACCGAAATCGCAATCCAAGTACGTCTGAAGTACGTCTGCAATTCGCGTGCCACATAACACAAAAGAAATATTGGTTTGAAAATTTCAAAAATCAACGGTTATTTTGGAAGTCTTTGTGTAAAGGAATGAAGTGATTACTCTTACATCTGTCTATCCGATTTACACCTGTCCAGCCTCGGCCATTTCCCTTTGGACATGCTCAACTGACCACTTATATAACTTGGGCATATTGGCTGTTTAGTGTAGCAGAAAGTTTGTGGATACAAGATAAAGAGGTGAATAGACAGGTATTACGACCATGACTCGTGGCTATATTGTATTCTTAACATCTGTAGACCCCCTAAACAACAGATTGAATTGCAGGTACTTAAATCTATGTACAGAAGAGACATTTCACTCAATATTCAATTTTTAAGAGTGGTGAAATCCGGTGTCATTTCCCCACAAGAATAGACGGAGAGCTTGATGGTTCCTAATAGTCAGTTATTGAAATTGCAAACCTAGAAATATTGTGTGTCACTTTTACTGGATATGGATATATCTTTTGGTTTACAAACACGATAGTTTATGTACATTTTTCAAAGAATTCGAATGTAGACCACACAAGCTAACAAGTAACCTTGATGCATATAACGGTGCTACCGATAAACATCAAATTGTGTATCTCAAAATACGAAACTGAGAAAATACAACCTCGGTGATCGCCACGTGATATGCGTGTGGTTGTGCATACCCCCATAGACATTGGTGAAATGCGATCTATGAGGATAGAAGAAATCAAAGACGTTCAGTGAACCACATGACTCCAATGTTTTCAAAGAATTTTTTCAAAGTTTAAAGTTAATTGGAGGAAGCTATGAAAGTTAACACTCGTCTCATAAAGATGTCACGCATTTCTATAACCGATATACAAGACTAATAATCATAACTTATATTCAAGATGAATGATAAACCTGAAAGAAAACTATGATAAAAAGAGTCCGTTTGACATCTGGCGTGTGTGAGGGACAATACGAGTAGTATCATCATCTTGATATCCACACAGCAAAAAGATTGTACAGGACATTTTATGTGTCTATATCCCGATCGCAGAAGTCCTGGGAGATGGGCGCAATTGAATTTTTGATGGTACCATGCAATTACGACTAGCATCGTACAATACGCACATGTATTTAATTAAACAGTCGCTCAGACAGGGTAATCTGACAAGTTCCTGTATTCTAATAATTTTTTTTTTATCCTTAATGCGTATAAGACTAGATCATGTACACAAATGTTCACCTGCAAGCAATATATATATTGCTAAATGGTTGCTATTCCGCAATCAAAACTGACAGAGCAAAAAAAGCAAACAGTGTAATTCTCTATCTATAGGATGATCACCTTTTCAACTGATCTATCTTTGCCGCATTTAGGAAAACGTGTCACTGTCAGAATCTGACACCAACTTCGTTGACTGACGGCAACTGGGGCATCTAGAAAAATGTATTGATTTAATCGACCTCAGCGCACAAACGATAGGATATTTGCTGGCTGTTGCCATCAGTTGCTAATACAAAATTTGGATTTGGTTGTCCATGTGAATGGTTGAAATCTGATACATCTGATCACAGTTGTTAACAGCAGGTTAAGTTTCTTTATATAAAGGAAACAGTTTTTTTTACCTGATCAGGCAAATTTACCTTTGTGCTTTTATTAAAATATTGAATAATAGTATTCATTGTCATGAACAATTCTTCTCTTTCAAGAGAGAAATAAGGAAAGATTATCAGAAAGGAAAGAAAATAGTAACACCCAATTGAATACACAGCAAAAATAAATCTTCTGTTTTTCCTCTAATTTCGATTTTTCCTTGATCAACTTAAAATAATGCAGGTTTTGTCTTTAAAATCGTCGAGAGAAGCGTGACTTGTACACAAAAAGATTTTTGTATCGGAATGTAAAGTCGACGTTCCCACGCTTCAAACGGTGAACCGATTCACTTACTTTGACGACCTATGACCTCGCCGCGTGACACGAACGTGGCTGAAATTGTCAATTACAGGTAGTTTATTGTCTAGGATCACCTGGGTGAAACGGGACACCTCAACTTCCAGATTCGCCTTTGATTTTGCCATCAAATGTTTTTTTCGTCATTCAATCGACTGATAAACATTGACCCTTGTAATGGACATTATACTATTTTTAAACACGTGTCACGTGACCTTTGTTCATCTTTTAAGACATCTCTTTGTCCAATCCTGACATCAAACAATTAAAAACGTTTTTCAGAATTTTAAATTTCCATTTTTCTTCCTTTGAAATCAAATTCGGACAAATGGATTCTCAAAAAGACGAATGCCTTTTATTTGCATTTTACTTTTTGATTGAAGGTCTTCATTATATTTATTGATCAAAAATGACCATTAAAATGTCTTGTTCCATATTATTGCTTTAACTCATCCTATGTAAACATTTTAGGTAATAAAGTCTATAATATTACAGTTATTCCGAATTTATACCCGTTAAGAGGAAATCGTGAAGGCATGTGCCATTGTTTAAAATCAATTGCAACAGCGAAGATAGGTGAAACCGTTCAACTCTTTTTTAAGAATAAGTTAAAACCATTGCAACATGATAGCAGTACATCACCTTGTCTAAATCTTCCTGTTTAATATGTCTTTTTTTAAAACTGAACTCGCCTGTGACAGCAGAAATATCATCTACCCTACCGGTACAATCGATATTAATCATAATCTCTATAAATTTATGACTAAACCATTCCGACGCAACAGTATATACTAGTTACTAAAGAATCACAATTGATATCCCAACCAGAACCGTTCGAAATTTATATTATAAATAAATTATAAACTATACAACCCATTGGTCTTAAGGTACAAGTTGACCATCAAGTAGTTCTCTTTCAGTAATACATCTTGCAGAGAATAGTACAAACACCTCCAACACGGCTTTCTCGATATTTTTCACAAATACGTAATAGCAAACTAAAACTAAGTGTCATTTTAGTCCAAGGCAGACTTAAACCTGAGACCATCCTCAGTACTGTTCTCAGCAATTTGTATGAAGACCCACCCTCTTCATTGCAACCAGATGTTGGCTACAGTTGAGCAATACTTTGTTTTCCATTAATTCAAATGTATCATTAGTTTCAGCAAACTCTTCATGTTTCTTTTTCACGAGTTTCATATGTTTTCCCGCACATGACAATAATTGATATAACTGAATATTCTCTTAGGATACGATGATATAATATTTATAACAGCAATACTTGAATTATATATTATATCACCAGACAGGAATATGGGTGTCTATCTTCAGTCTCTAAAAACTAACGTATAAAAGACCTGTCTTAAAATTCAATTAAGGGTTGCTGATAGGCTACAAACTTATTGACTGACTTTTATGAACCTATATATACAATATAAAGTGTAACTTATGATTATATTATATTTGATTAAGTCCGCTTCAACGACTCTATTCAAATTTGATGCACATATCGTCCGAATTCATTGTCCAAACGTGTGATAAAATGACAGGTAGCAGTCAAAGGTCACCACCAAATATGAGATGAAGCGTAAGGAGAAGATTGGCTATCGAATTAACCATCTGATTGAAAGCAATTCATCATTTCCGATTACTTTAAACTTTTCACCAAAAGTTAACTTTTGAAAAGTTTTCCCGCTCTTTGATGAAAAAGTTTTTGTGCCTGCGAACGTTCTTTGTTTCCCTTACGTCTTGTTTTTTTAAAGTTATGAAGAAATGTTAAAAGGGGGATAACTCTCTAAACTGTATTCATCGGAATTTGAAATTTTAACACCTGGAAAACCGTTGATTTAAGCAGATGTAGAATGTTGAACAAAAGACACGTGCCCTTCATTCCTTTACAATGATAAATGGAGGTATGAAACATACAAAATTACTCGATTATGACTTTCTTTACGAGACGACGTTTTTCTAAGATATCCGATGAACAAAGAAATAAAAAAATTATTCGCATATAAAAAGCTTTTAAATTCTTTCATGTTGCCATTTTAGCATGTGTATTATTTTGACATTATGAAATTTTTTATATCAAATATTGTAGAAATTTGCAAATCCAGATCCACGTTTATTTGTTATCCATGCGTGGCGACAAAGCAAAAAAAAAAAGCATCTCATCGGATCTTCTGAGACGACATCAGTCGAACGATCACGATCATACCACAAACTTGTTTGACTAACAACACCGATCAGCTGTCGCAGTTCTTTGCTAAAAGTGAACAATACACAACTGTTGGCAACTGCGATTCTATCGATGGTCTGCTCAAGCAATTCCACAGATGCCGTCGAAAATCTAGTTGCTATAAAATTTTTCCTATCGAGAACATAGAGGTAGTAAGACTTACTTCATTAAACTTACTGAGAGACTTACATTTATGCACCTGATTAGGCTAATTATAGGATACTACCTCTTAAAATGGATATAAAAAATTTTAAGTCTAAAACTTGGTCAATAACTGTACATGTATATATTCATGCAACCAACGAAATTTTTAAAAACATAACATAAAACACTATGAAATGAAAATTTCAATGAATAGATATTTTGACAAATTTCTAAGAGCGAAACTGTTTTCCAGGACATTTTTATTTTTTTTCTGACATTGTGAAAGCAAGTTTT